AGATGAGAAAGAGATGAGGGAGAGATGAGAGAGATGAGAGAGAGATGAGAGAGATGAGAGAGAGAGAGAGAGAGTGAGAGTGAGAGTGAGAATGAGAGTGAAAGTGAAAGTGAGAGTGAGAGAGAGTGAGCGAGCGCGGCCGCAAGATACGCAACGCTAACCGCATGCCAAAGAGCGACGACAGGACGGAGTCGAACTTGCGAAGAGGGAGGAGGGAGGGAGGGAGGGAGGGAGGCAAGGTGGGAGGAAGACAAGGAGGAGAAGAGGGGAGGTGGGGAGAGGGGAGGTGGGGAGAGGGCTTCGACCTGAAAGATCAGGGGTTAGGATTTGCACCCGATCGAAAGAAACCTTGCTATCGCAAGAGTGACATGATTGAAACCATCAATCTCGCAGTATAGAACTCGAGTCAAGAAGATATCTGCAATTCACATTGCTACGGACATCTATCTACGGACAAAGAGTTGAACCCTCGGCCCCCTTGTTGAACTACCACTGGCAACACAAACTTCCAGGAGAGTCAACCTACCAAACAGACCATGGGCCATGGGCTGGTCACGGGGGTTGTTTGAGTTTGACCCAAACGGTTCTTCCAGGTGAAGGCCGCTTTTGTGACACCACCGGTTTTGGTTTCCAAAGCACAGCTCAAACACAGCTTGATGAAAGCTGGGCTGGTTCTTCAAAGCTCTGGATAGGACTGACTAGCTAGTCGGGATGACTTTTCAAAAAAATGACCTCCCCAGCCATCCACCCTTTCCATGTACTGCATCACGAAAAACAAAAACACCGGTCGCAACAGCCTCCAACAGGAAGCCTAGGAACCCATGAATCTCTGGTTGCACTCCGGCTCCTTGTCTTCCAATGACGCCGTCCCATCCAATCCTCCGATCCGATTGCCGATTGCAATGGCGTTCCATCGCCATTGCACAGTGCGGGGTGAGAATGGCCCAGCGGCAGCGGGGTGAAACACATGCATCGGCAGCGGAGGGTGCCACCTGAGCCAAGCAAAATCAGCAGGACCTCCCCGATCTTGCTAATCATGTGACTGGGATTGGAACGCCAAGAGTTTGGGGACTCGTGAAATTGATCAGCCGAACCATTTCAAGATGACTATTCTGAGCCTTGGTTTTTCGGGGTATACATGGCACATCATGGCACCGTGAAGTTCATTCACTAATTGGCCAGGGCTGAGGACACAACTTACAACTTGCAGCATTGATCCAAACTATCGAAATACCTCGGATTTGGCCACACCTGACTTACCATGACGTACCAAGCACCTCCGAAAGTGACCGAGAGTGCTAACCAGTCTCTTCTCATACTCTCTTTTTGGGGTACAACGACCAGCACGGCACGGCAGGCCCATGCCCTTCAACAACAGGTTCATGTCCTCAGATCTCCCCTAAATCTAGGAACCCAAAATGAGGGCGCCCTCAGCCGGAGGGAGCTTCCTTGAAAAAGCGTGAGCTATCCTGCGTCCAGTTAGTTAGTAATTAGTAGCTTAGTAGCTTACTTCTCCCTTGCTTAATTAAGCAGGCGCCTACTTGATTAAGTAAGGGTGGGCTAAAACAACTAAAACCCATCAACAAGCCAAAGCCAAACTGGAACAAATGGAGACGGTCCTAGGAGGTCCAAACGGATAGGAATCTATATCAATGTCTCCCCTCCACACATCTCCAAACTACACATGGCCCTCAAACCCCCAATGAACTCCCTAACATACACGCCCCTACACTCCAAAGCGGCCTATGCTAAGATGGCGCTCTCATGCGGGATGACCTGGCAACGGATGAGCAGGTTTTGGAGTGAAAACAAAAACGACTATAGTAGACTGAGTAGAAGGCATCTGATCCTCAAAAATGCCCAATACGTGTGCACTTGTTCGGACAACCTCATGATCAGTGCCACATTTTAGGCCGTGAAGGTGAACTCCAAACTCGTTCCACTGATGTAGCAATGCTGAGGGATGAGCACAATGCGGCCTCAAACGCTCAACGTGACAGCATGCACAGCTCCTCTCACATCCTCCCCCCCACCTAACCAACTTGGGTGATGTGGGACTGTAAAGAAAGAGAACGACCCCACAACGGCCCGACCGACTCTTCAGCCCCGCCTTCCCTCTCGCATCAAAGTAGTGTGAGATGTCTTCTCCCTGGCCATTTTGAGGCAACGAATCTGAGAAGTCTCCGCAAATCTGTTGAGCTTGGCGACAAAAACCAGCTAGTGACGGCAAAGCCAACGACGAAAACAGCTGTGATAGCAACAAGAAGAACCACCAGCAGCACCACGACCACGACCACTACTTTGTATATAGGTATCTTTTCCATTTCAAATAAGTGTCCTTCTCGAAAAATAGACCATGGTCCAAAGTCCAAGGCAGTTATGGCTGGTAATCACCCGGGGGGTCCAACGATGTTCAAGGTCAACCCAGCCAATGTCGTGTGCAGTATCACTCATTCTGATGTCCACCAATTTTTTGTCGATGAAAGACCCCCCTTATCCCCTTCAAGCTGATGGTTTTGACCTCCAGGAGTCAGAACAGATCACAACTGGTCAGTCATTCTCAAAAGTCACGTCACGTCATGCCGTATGCCTGGTGCTTAAACCTACACAGCGTCTTCATCTGTCGGTACCACAGCGTCCTTGTATCCATCGCTGTCTGGAAAGTCACCCCATCGCCTTGTAGGGAGCATTCATTTGGGCAATGGCCAGCTCGACGTCCTCGCTGTGGACCCGCAGGTCGCGTCCGGACTGTGCCCGCAGGCCCAAAACCACTCACTGGAGAGGAGATGAGAGGATCGTGGTGCCCAAACCCACTCACTTAACGTCTCAAAGGCTCTTTGGAACTCCTCGATATACTGCACAATATATGATACATCTTAATCACTTACTTAATCATATATAGGATAATCTTACGGGCAAACACGGGGATCGTCGGCCATTCTTGAGGCAACAGCTTGAAGGTCCCAGTGAAACGGTTGGATAAACTCAAAGCGTTCCATTTATATAGATTGAACCATCCCTCAGCTAAACAACATTGTTGTCATGTTGTTTGTTCTGTTGTTTGTCCTTTGTCTTTGCTTGTCTGGTTCTTTCTCCTTCTCTCTCCACCTGGGCTGAACCGAGCTCAGCCGATGGTTGGGTGGACCTGGAATCAAAGACCTCACCAACCTGACTCTTGTCCTGATTTCGCACGAAACAAGGTGAGTTGGCATCTCATCTCCTCTGAGGGCACATCGACGCTCTTGAGGAAGTCCACATAATTGAAGATCCAATGGTCACCTGAAATTGGTCTGCTGGGACAATTGGTTTGAAAAGAGGTAAGTGACGGGAGGGAGTAAAAGTACCTGAGATGTGGAGATCATCCGTGAGATTGGAGGGCGGCTCCGAAGATACCACTCGACAGGTCCTTCCAACCGACACCCAAATACCACTCCTTAAACTATACCCTGTTGCTGCAGTCTGTTGCTGGCTGAGAGTTCACAACACTGGACCAACTCTTAAAACATGTGTGACTCTCTTCTATGCCGAGCTTTCACAATCAGGAACCCCGGCGAGGTCTTGAAACATATGCCTTAGAAAGCCCTGTCCTTTCTGCCTGCACCATTTCTTTCTGATGGGTTCGAACAGTGCCGTGTTTGTGAGTTGGGGTATTCTGGGTATTCTGGCATACACCGTATAAATCAATATTAGCCCAGTGGATCCCGACAAGATTCACCCTCTACTACCTCACAGCAGAAGTCTCTTGGCCTCCCCACCCAAATCGCAGTACATGTTGCCAAGCAGTTGGACATCATCCTGGCCGATTTGTTGACGGTGGGAAGGCGACACGCACCGAGATCCTTTCACCAAAATCCAGTGTGCGATGTCTCATCAAATGTTGGACCCAAACAGCCCTTCTCATCCACCCTCGGTTGGTGAAGACATGTGAAGACTTGCCTTTGGACCGCTGCGGCGGGTCCCGTATGCGTTCAGCCAGGGTGAACTGCGCCACCCCACGAGCGTTCACGGCGCAAGGGATTGATTTCTTTGACAGAAGGTGGACAGTGTACTGTAGCATGTCTGGGCGAGGAGTCCGCTGCAACATGTCCAAACCTGAATTCGTTTGGAGTATGGCAGTCACATGTCCAAACCTAATGGGCAACCATAGGAAGTTGATGGAAGTTGCATTGAACCAGCTGGTCCTTCCGCCATTGGTATCTCCTGCCTGCATATCTGTTCACTTCATCGAGCAAAGGGAGGTTTGATCAGCTCTGGATGTCCCGGCAAAAGGGTCTGATAGTCCAGGCATTAAACATATATATATGTCAGAGCTGCCAACAAAGCACGAAGTTCGCCTTGTGATCAATGCCTTACAGTAAGTGGCCTGGCATACATCATCTTTCGCATTCTTTCGCCCTCTGGATTGCTTGAAAATCAAAAGTAAAGCACATCTTCAGCAATCTCAGCAAATCACCGCGGGGATAGCAGTGAAAGGCGATTGTTATGCGGTCAGTAGATCCTTGTCAGTCGATAAGTACCAAAAAACTCCACATACAGTACTTTCATGTACTTTCTGAGAAAGAGGTCGAAATACGTTCTGCGGACGCCGTTGCAGCTCTGGGGCAGGACAAACAGCCACACCGAAGATCCCCACCTCAGAGAGATCAAAGCCCATACTCTGCATCACCTGCGATGGTGATCAGCTTCATGGGAGCACCAGAAAAGCAGGGGGACAACTGACGAAGCTGGGACCAAGCCAGAAACCTAGTGGTACCATGTGGTACCGAAATTGCAGAATGAAACTACTTCTTGAACACGTTGCACCTGATGGGATGGATTCTTCAATATTCTTCATGTTCTGGGACAACCATCTATCCAAAAGCCTCAAGCTAGGCATGAGTCTTACCTGAGCTAGAGTGTCTCCAAATGTCTCCGATCAGCTCCGGCGGACACTCTTTTGACCTCGCTCAACTTCACCTCCAGGTCCTAGTAGTAACAGGTGCCACGCTAGTAGTAACAGGTGCCTTACTAGTAGTAACAAGAAGCTAGTAGAAACCAGTGCCACGCTACTAGGAGCAAGAAGCTACTAGGGGCTCCTGGCCTTACTAGTAGTAACAAGAAGCTACTAGGAACAAGTGCCACGCTCCTCCAGGTCCTAGAAGTCCATCCGTCCGGACCGCAAACCCGCGCGGCACAGCACCACAGACCCCGCAACTCCGTGCGCCCGCGGCGGTCACATGAGAGGAGCGATTTCAAACGAAGCCGATGGGAGGGCACGTCCGTGGTTTGGCCTGGGCTGAGGGCAAATAGCTTGGCTCTTGAGGTCTTGAGGTGGTTATATCTTACATAAAACGAGTAGGAATGATATGGGAATGGCGGAATGGCATTTGACAATGTGTATCTACAAATCTGAAGCGCGCGATCTGATACCTGATGGAACATGATGGAACAGTATTCCAACAAAAACAGTGGCACGCGTGCAAGATTCCCAGCATGTTCGACATAAAGATTAGACTCCTAAATTGGGAGGTCAGTGGATACCTTGCAGGCATACACCAGTCAGGTGTAAACACCTAAAACATCCTAAAACCGAGTTTGACCAAATTTAGTCTTTATGGTTTGTTGGACGTTTGGTGTACGAATTGACCAGCAAGTGTTTCTCTCGTGGTGCAAGACCCAATTTTGACCGGACGTCGTCTTATGTAGCAGTTTAGCATGTCCCATACTTCGCAGCTCGTCCCATGGTTTTTGAGCTAGGTGACTGGGTGGCCAACCCGGGTCGAGCCGGGCGGTAAACAGGACAGGTCGGATTGTCATCCAGCAATTCAGGTGTTTAGAGTCATCCATCCAAGGCGGCCTACCTACGACCTTCTACATGGCGTCACACAGGTGATAAATGTTCCAAAATGTCCCAACGGCTAATCTAGTACCGATTATTTTGTGGCCAGTCACTGCAGCTGGCTTTTGCATGCCTTGAACACCTTTGCACACTTGTCTGCATCTAAGTGGCTTCTATTCTAGCTGTCTGCTTAGGGCCTGTCTGCGCGAATCAACTTGCAAAGGTCGCCCAAACTGCTGGATGTCAAAGAGGAGATGGTCACCAGCAAGGTGGAGTTCCTTGGAACGGGTCGGCCAGGGGTCCGTTACTAAGGCCCTAAGGCCCTTGTAGATCCCTCAGACTTGACTACGGTAAACAACAAAGGAAAAAGAGTCGCTGGTGCTACTCAGTATTCATCTTGCTTGTTGCTGGGAAGGGGGGAGTCAAATTGGGCCAGCACCGGTTGGAAGGCCATGCAGTTGTGAACCAAGACGCTGATCTGCGGTCTGCTGACAAAAAAGTCCGATGCATACCGTTGCCAATTAGTTTCCATTGTTGTTCTCGTATTTCACTAAGCAAGCCTAGGCATCTTCATTCCTCTGACATGTGGTGACCCAAACATGATTCACCTGATGGACAATTCAAATGGTTCGCCACTGACTCTCTTGCTACGTGAGAGGCCCACACCCAAGTTCAAGCCCGGGGGCCGATAGCCTGCCACCACGCATTGGAGCATGGCCAAAGGAGATTGCTCAAGACCCTGACGCAGCAATAGGTCCGCCACGTTCGGAGCTTCTCGCACCAAAGAGCGCCTTAGGACCCGCTGCTTTCGCGAGTCGGACCATAACAGGATTTGATGTACTAGTGTTGCCAAGAAATCACAATGTCAGTCATGCTTCAGCAAGGCATATGCATTGCTTGCATCACTAACATTGTGTATCAAAGGAGTCATGTATATACAATGGTTTTGCTATATAAAATAACTACAGTAAACTAAACAAATTCAACATCCTCCCAAACCAGATCATGGTGTCCTTTCAGCGGCCCACCTCAATAAACATCCTTCTATCCTTGCCACACTGCAGGACCAAGGCTCAGCAAAGCCAAGATGTTCTCATCTTTGGCACCCAGCCCAAAGTTCCCCAGCCTGAACCGAAATGGATCAATCAAATTAATACAGGCGATGTGGAGACATGCTTGGAGATATTTTTTCAGATATGAACGAGATCACAGAGAATGGAGTGTGTGGTGGTTGACCCAGTCAGATCATCCTATCCTCTTTTGAGCTAATGAGAAGCTGTGGTGCCGGTGAGGACATGCTGCAAGTTGGTAGACTTGTCTGTGGTCTGAGGCGGCGAACGGGATCAACGTCTTAGACCTCATCCTGGGTCTGGGAGGCATACGATATAGTCATGTTCCGCCAAAAGAGCACTATCTGTCCTAACTACTAGAACGCCAACTGCACATCCTTCGGCTGTTTGCTGCGCACAGCTCGATCCAATGCATGCTTTTTTCAAGTATCTTCATTATCCAACATTCCCATGGGACTTTGAAGGATCGGCACTTGTTGTGTCAATCTTTGGAAACGAGCGCTCTGTCAGTCGAATTGCACTAAGGATGGTGCTTGGTAGCAGGGCACCACTTGCCATTACAAACAAGCAAACAGACCCCAGACAACATCAAGCAACTGGAACTCCATCCAAACAACTATGACTCTGGATGACTCTGGCAAAATTGCAGACTCACCATCACCATCGCGTAACCCCAACTCTGTGTGCCAGGAGACACTAAGATCAAATCCATGCCGGAGGATTCCTGCAGTGCCAGAATGGAGAGCTCAATAATTTTTGTCACACCAACAACTCAACTAAAGCCAGCCCGGCTGAGCCACAACTGTATGATTCTAAACATTAAGAGATGCTTGGAGATGCTGTACAACGGATGTGCACCAAATTTCTCCATGCGCTGCCCTTTCAGTTCGGGCCTGGGACCAGGACTCCAAAAGTTCTCGCATCTCGAGAACCTTCAATCGGCAACACCGGACACCTCTTGGAAGAGAGGAGAGGAGGAGCACTCATCTCGTAGGAGGAGTCGTTTCCACAAAACATAAGAGAGAACTGGGACATAAACATCTGGAAGACTATCTTCAGCTAGAACACAGTGGTTTAAGCTTTCCATGTTTTTTGCAGATGCGCATTTCTTGGTTTCGCCGAGAGCGAATTTGTTTATGGGTGCAACATGCACCATGACTCGACAAAGTTGGTTTTGTTGATAACATGCTATTTCAACTTCACCCTTCCGAATCCACCAAGCGTCGCAACTAATATTCTGTTAGAGGAAAGGAACGTGATCGAATCCTCTATTTGCATTGATGCATGTGGAGGAGGCGAGGAATGGCAAAGGATGCGAAGGGCATGTGGGTATTTCAAGTCGCATCGAGTACTGAAAGCGGTTGGTCTGAAGAGGAGCACACCGAACACAGCAATCCAATAGACACCTCCGAAACAAAAAACAGAGTTCAGGCCCTTCACGCCGGAACAGAGTTTTGGATTCCAGAATTTTGCACTGTGGCTTGCATGCAAATATGTAACATGTGGATGTATAATGTATTATATATATATTCTGTGATACACCTGTAGCTGGTGGCCTAACTCTTTGAATGCGCTCTTTGCCAATTTCTCCTGCTGTAGCCCTTTGCGTCTCTTTGCTCCGGTAGATTCAGAGTAGATGGAGTGCGCGTTTAGTTGGCAATCTGAGTTTTTTATCATTTTGAATGAAAACCACTAAAATGCCCACCGCGTGGGGCGCGGTATTGACAATTTGTCTTTTCATTATATTATTGTCAAAGCCTTGCTTCGGCGGTTACAGCACCCCTGCCCAAACAGATTGAAGTGGCTTATTACTGCACCACCGCCCAGGCTTGCACTGCCCAGCGCAACCCAGGCTTGCCGTCCTGAGCTGCACCGCCCTGGTACAGCGCCTTAATATGCCTTAATGGCAGGCACAGGGGCTCTATCCTTCAGATACCTCGGTTCGGAAAAGAGAACATGCCAATCTATATGCAATACAAAACGGCTTCTTTTTGTTGCCTCCTTTGTGACTCATTCACACTCATTCTTGAGTGTTGCGTCTTCGACGCCTGCAGCGTGTAAGCAGATGCGTCTTACCGCGCCCCACCGAAATACCCGTTGTCTGTGGAAGTGGATGCGGTTTACAGCTCCCCCACGCTGCTTTGACCCCAGTCGATTCACAAGATACCGCTCTATAAACAGACTGAGGCTCTCGCGCTCAAAAGCGCTTTTGGCATGTCGCAAACAGATGCGGCGCGCCGGCGCCACTTGGGGTGGCGGAGTTCTCTCACTTTATACCTCGTATTGGATGCGCCGGTCAACTTAAGGGAACTTGCCAAGGCGACCTGTTTTTTAGAGATTCGAAAAAGAATATGAAAGACTGGTAGGGTCGTGACTAACAATGCTGTACGATGTGAACTTTGAACAGCTCAGTTCTCCTGCAGAACTTCGAGGAAGTAGCGTGCCGCCCTCTCTGCAGGTGACACGAAAAAATTGGCCACTGAAACTTATCGCGTGGTTTGCTGCCCCGCAGGTGGCTCACAAAAGGCCTGCTACCTTGGAATGATCCCGTCCTCCTCAGCCTCCTCTAAATTCTATTTTCGGGTGGCTCACAAAAGGGCTGCTATGTTGGAATGGCTCCTACCTCCTCTAAACTTTACCCTCGGGGGGGCTCACAAAAGGTCTCCTGCTACCTTGGAGTGGCTCCTGGCTCTCACCTAGGTTTTGGCTTTTGCGTCTGTCTTGTAAGCACCACACGTAAGCATTGCTGTACTTCAATGTGACATTCAATGTGACATTCAATGTAAGCGGTGAAGTAGGTGTACTTCATTCACAATGTTCTTTCCCACCAACCGCAAAACAACCATGACATACACATTCGCAAAGCGTATTGAAGCCTCTGTCTAATATGTTACGAAATATGTGTGTGTGTGTGCAAGTTGCGCAGTAGTGCACCACGGAATAACCAAACAGCAACAAATGCAGCACAGTAGACCAAACTGCAACAAAAAGCAACAGAAGCAGCAAAACAACCAAAGCAACACAAAACAAACGAGCCGCATAAAACAAGCAACAACAAAACAAAACTACGGCAAACACTAAAACCAACAAACAACAACAGCACAGAAAAAAAACTAAACAACAGCAAAAAAAAACAAACAAAGCAAAATCACGTCTGAACAAATAAAATAAGCAAATCAAGCAAACCAACGAAAACATACCTAAAAGAACACCCAAGTAGATGGTACAGGTAGAGTCTTTGAAACTATCTTTGATGACCCCACTTGGCACAGGCATCCAGGGTAGATCTTGGATATACTCCTTTAGCACTGAAATGAGTAGCTAAAAAATTGGATATCCCTAAAGGGTGTGTAGTACAAACGATACAACATCTATGTTGAGCCAAGTTGATGTGCTTTCACATTCCCGGAAAAAAAAAGAGGAAAAACAAGTGGATGATCAACACCGAGGGTCAAACTTGTCCCGTCAGAATCTCACCGAGAAAATGTTGGGAGGTTTACAAGAACATACATATCCTGACCAGTCCAGTCTGATCCTGACAAACATTGTCTGTTTTGCGTGTGCAACATCGCGTCTGAGGGTCGTTGACCCTATATAACCACTCTCACAAGCACATCCCATCGCTGGATGGACAAATTCCTTCTGCCTTCCGACTCCTGCCTCTGGTGCTTGCTTCTCTATCAGCTCCACAGGCCCCAGGAACGTCGCGAGCTGCTCACGAGTGACCTCAGGGTGCCCAAAAAGGAAGTTCTCTGTCCGCGCCCACTTTGTGAGAAAATCCATCTTGCAACAGGTATTCCAGTGGTTTCCAGGGTCATGCAGGTGGTCGAAAAATGCTCGTCCGGGTCAACCCATGCTGGGCAATCTTGCAAAGATCTACTGAAAAATAACCTCTGGATAAACTTGATGGACAGACTTTTGCGGCTGCAATACCATGCAATATCCCTAGAGATACAAAATCTGCAAATGAGGACGCCCACATGGAAAACAACGAGGACTCCCAGATGTCTGGAGGTTCAACTCTCGACTCTCGAAGCACGAAGGCTCCTTTCAAAATACGTACCATTTGTGTTCAACTTAGACCTGACACCCGAACTCAGGGAAAATCCAATACACTAACCCTGTTGACCTGCCCATCAAATCCCGCCTCTCCACCTGCGCTGTCCCAGCGCAGCAGCGCCACCTTTGCTCGTCGTGGTGCGGCATCGCCCGAAGCGCTGGGCGCTTGTGGCGCCAGCGGCGCCTGGAACGGAGCGAAGGCGGTGCGGACGTCGAATCCATCCCCAAAGCATAGACTGCCATAGACGAGAGGAATAGAATGTTTCCCCAAGCCTGATTAGTGTTCAAACATGTTCAAACTATTCCTGCAGTTTCCAAGAAAAGCATGTTTATCATTATTAATAAACTATATGTTGCTTTATCAGGTTCGTACACACGGAGTATTTCATGATATGTCATGCCGCATTCCTCGCTCCCTGTTTCTATACACCTCCAACGGTTTATAATCCTCTCATCTTGGCCTGCACCGAGCGGGCAGCGATGCTTGGGAAGCCTTCGGGCTCCGGCAGCAGGCCTAGTAATTGGTATGGCAGTTGGTTTGGGCGCGGGTTCAAGGGATGGGATCATTGGCATGAGGTAGGACCCAAAAGTCTTCGAAGCGTTAGGCTTCCATCCGCATCAAAATATGAGAGATGCAAAGCAGCCGTGGTTGAACATGTTGACATCATTTGACATCATAAAGGCTTTTCTGCGGCTCTGGCAAGTGTACCCAGGCCCATGCCAAGTCCAACCATGAACAAATGCACTATATAAAGAGCATATTGAGATAGGTCATGGTTGAACATCTCAGAAGGGACATGCCTAGTCGAGCATCAAATATATATATATATATAATTGCAAATATAACGATGGACACTGATGGATATTGATGGCCTTCAGTGCATATCGATCACAATAAAACAATTCTCACCAACCTGGAATCAGGACACGTCCACTGACCGGTCTCTGTCCACAGGTCGCCTGTGAGCAGCAAAGCCTTGACCACCTTGGATGGATGGGGTGGTATAGGTGGTACAGGTACAGGTAAACAAAAGCATGTTAAAAAAGAAACGCTCGTGCTGTACTGGTGCAGCATTGTGTGGCTTTTTCCGGGTGCTCAGCCCTGCCCTGCTCAGGCCCCTGCGGTCGTGGCTTGATAAAACCTTTTCCTTTACCTACTAGAGCTGGCAACTGGGACATCTACAACGTGTGAACATGCCGAAAACCTGCAAACGAAAGACACCGAACGTAATGTGGCACCCCATCAACGAACCAGGTGAGGTGACTTAGACTTGGAATTTTGACGCATAGAATCCATATGATTTGTGAATCATGAAGTCTCTTCATGAGAGAGACATGCCCAAATTGCCCAAATTATACTCACTCCGTGCAGGTGCAACCAATTCTGGATGCACTGGAGGCACACGAAGCGAGTGGATGCGACCAAATAGTCAGCCTATTGGCTGTGCTCAGGCAGATTTGTTGGTTGACCAACTCGACCCACTTGTCACTCATCATTCATCACACTGCATGACAAGAAACAAGTAAAGCCTATATAGAAGCATTCGGGGTTTAAAAAGGATTCGACCATGTCCATCCAAACTCTATCCCACACCCACATCCATCCAGCATTGCATGGTCCTTCTCAGCCACGTGGCCGTACCCTTGGTCAATGTGCCATGTGCTTTCGGGATCTCCAGCAAGCAGTTGGTCTCAGGGGGTCAAACCACATGACAACTCTCCCGACCTTCATCTTGGGAGGTGCTCAGGCGATCGGTGCCGCTCAAATCTTTATGAAATAAGACTTTAAGGAACCTACTAGCAATGGCCTCCACCCTAGTAGCAATGGCCTCCATCATCCTCGACTTAGTAGCGATGACCTCCAACCTAGTAGTGATGGCCTCCAACCTAGAAGCGGTGCAATATAGCCAGACTCCCAAAGCCTACATACAAAGGAAGGACTGGAATGTCTGGTGCTGAGATCTACTGAGTCTTGGAAGACGTCAGGGCTTTCTGCCTAAGAAAAGGCTGGAAACAAGGTTTAAGCAAAGTCCGGTGTGGGGGGGAGTGTTCGATTGTACCAAAGAAAATACCACAAAACCAACATCACAATTTTGACAACAAACACTGCAAGAAATAAGAAAACTGTCTTACTAAATACAGCAACACATGTTTGCAGTGCGATAAAGAGTGTTCTGGCACCCCACATCTCATGCTTCAGCTACCACCACAATCCGC